AGAACAATGAATCAGTGGAACAACTTGCCTCCAGAAGTTGTGAATGCTCCAACACCAGTTTGTTGCTGTAAACTCTGACACATTTGGATCTTGTTTCTGTCACTGAGCTCTGCAGCCAAACAGCTGGACAGATGGCTACAATTTTTTGTTTTGCTGCTCCATAGTCCACCAAGGAAGAAGGTTGTCATTTTCTGCTCTGATTTAGGTTGACAGGAAAACCGCTTCACTGACTCAATAAGTGAGAAATAGCAAAGGCTATTTGTGCGGTTAAGAGGCTGGAGGAATATGAAAGTAAGGAACTGTTCCCACTTTGCCAGAACCTTGACCTTCCTGGAAGGTAAGATTTGAAGGCTTCTGGTAAGATCAGAAGAGATGACCTCTAGATACAATGCTGTCGTCAGACCTGTAAATCTTCCCTGTTCTTGGAGGTGAGTTTTATAAAGTCACTTCTGAAAATTCTTCCAGATATGAGTCCAGTGCATCTCATCACATTTTGTCAGCACGGCATATCAGTAGAGTGATAGCAACAGCTTAATCCTCCCAGCTAATGGTTATATGTTTTCTTGACAAACATATGGAACATAATCAAACACTGATTACTTTCTGATATCCTATGATATAATTCAAGCTGTAATTGAGACAGATATTAAACTACACATTTCTACATATGGGGCTTGGATTGTAATAAATGAGTGGTGGCTTGCTTCACTGCACAGATGCAGAAACACAGACACACAGAGGACATTCCGTAATCTAACCATAAGAGTGAGCTGAAAATGAATTTTGAGGCTAGCTGCCATAATTTGTGGATATTGCATTCAGAGATGGTATGCTGCCGGTTCGCACTGGTTCGGGTGAACCAGTAGTGGTGGCAGCGCGAGGCTCCCCCCCCCACTAACCCAGAATTCATCCAGGACCTTCTGCGCAGCTCCCGTCACCGAACTGGTAGTGGAGAACCATTACTGATTGCATTGCTTTATGATTTTTACGGCAGGCAAGAAAGAGTTGAAGGGCGACGTGCAAAACACGTAATTTATATGTACTGTTGAGATGTTCGTGATGAGGTGGTGACCCCGGGGCTTTCACCCTTCATCTCTGGTGACAGCAGGGCCTGAGGGTGACCTTATGATTTGTTTACGCAGTTTCAAAGATGGCTGATTTGCAGTTGCAGGTTGATTTGCAAAGAAATGGAAAAGGATTAAAGCTGATAAGGATCTTTAAGGGGAAAAGAGGCAGGGAAAAAATGATGCTAGGTTTTATCAACTCCACTGCACCACCTCAGTTCTTTTGCCTTTCAGGCCTTGGGTGTGGCATTATTAATCCCCTCAGTCAAAGAGAAGCTTCTGGAACCCGGATGGATAAATCTCTTGTTAAAGTGATACTCATCTCTCAAGAAAGAGACTCTGTAAAGGTGTCTAACCGCAGTGTGGGAACCTTTGTGGGGTGTGATGATTTCTTCTTCTTCTTCTTCTTCTTCTTCTTCTTCTTCTTCTTCTTCTTCTTCTTCTTCTTCTTCTTCTTCTTCTTCTTCTTCTTCTTCTTC